AATGCTGGGAAAGGTGGAAGGAAAGAGAAGAAGAGGATGACACAGTGGTTTCAATTATAGTGGTGATGGGTGCACCGTTGGAAGATCTGAGAGACTGGGTTGGGGACTGATCATCCTGGAGAAGGTTGCTAAGAGCTGATACCAACTTGATGGCGCGTAATCAAAAAATACAGAAACATAAAATGTTCACCGCCCCAGTTTTGCACTAGTCCATGTGGAAAGGAACTGACTGTGCTTGCCTTTCCTCCATTTTCAGGTTTTGGAGCCACCCTTCCGCCAGCCTTACGAAAACGTGAACCGCTGGTTTGTGACCTGCATAAACCAGCCCCAGTTCAAGGCTGTCCTGGGGGAGTTGAAGCTGTGTGAGAAGATGGCGCAGTTTGATGGTTAGGGAATTCATCCGTGGTCTAAGTGTTCTCTTTAAACTGCCATTCTGTCTTTTAAGGTTGGAAAGGGGCCGCAGGAGGTGGGATGAGTGAGCTGCGAGCAGTCTACGCCACTGCTGGAATTAGCATAGCTTAATTCCTTCCCCTTAGTTCCATTTTTTTTAAGGGGCAACAAGAAAAGAGGGCGAGGACCGCTACTGTTGTATTCTGCTCGTAGGAATCCATTAAGGAGCATTGCTTTTCCAGCCTCTCTAATCTTAGGAAAAGAGAAGTATGTTTAGTTTGTGGAAGAAAGAGTGTGCATTTCACTGCCCCTTCCTGTCTTTGGCTCTGCAGCTGACCTGACTAAAATTAGAATGTGCTGTAGAAAGGGGTCACATTTCATGTTCACTCTGTTTCCTGCAAGATGGGGTGGTTCAAAAATTGAGGGCCATTTTTAAAAGGTTGCCTACTTTTTCTGCAAATCCAGCTGCCCCTCTGCAGCTGACCTGACTAAAATTAGAATGTGCTGTAGAAAGGGGTCACATTTCATGTTCACTCTGTTTCCTGCAAGATGGGGTGGTTCAAAAATTGAGGGCCATTTTTAATTTTCTGAAGGGGTCCTGTACACTTTACATGGGTCAACTCGTGCCTTGCTGCCCTCAGTGCCTGTTTTTTAAAAGGTTGCCTACTTTTTCTGCAAATCCAGCTGCCCGATCAAACGGCCCAACTGTGGCTTCCTTGGCAAAGACATTTAATAGCTGGTGGCCGCCTCCTTCCCTCTGAGACCTCGGGAGTTAATAACAGCTGCTTGAGTGAACGTTAGTAAATACATGCTTGAGCAGAGTGCGAAATCTGAATGAGGCTTCTAAAATCTGCTCTAATATTTGAGTGCAGTGTAATTAATAGCCACGTGAGCCAGCTTGTCCTGGTGGTTAAAGGCACCAAGCTAGAAACCGGGAGACTGTGAGTTCTAGTCCTGGGTGACCTTGGGCCAGTCTCTCTCTCTCAGCCCTTGAAACCAGGCAAGGGCGATCCACCCACTTCCAAAAACGTTGCCTAGAAACCTGCAGGGACTTGCCCAGACAGTCATCGAGAATCAGGACTTACCTGAAGGCGCCCCCCCCCAAAAAAAGCTTTAAACACAGATAGAGAAATCCCTTGGAATAAATTAAGCTACCATTTTTGATGTATCTGCTACTTAATATTCATGCATAGGCTCTTTATGTGCAGAAATCACTGGTTGGTTCCTGACACCACCCTGATAGTAAAAAGAAAAAAGGGGGGGGGTTGTGTTTGTGCACTGCACTTCCATAATACCTGATCGGCCCCGGACCAAAGGCCTTGAGAGGTGCTGGGATCCCCTGTTGCCTGTATTAAAGCAGAGACCAAACAGCCTCCGGTCTAATCCAAAGCATCTGAGACGCTTCAGTTTGGACAGCTGCACTGAACATGGGTGGGTCAGCAGGCTGAGGCTTCATTGGTGTCTTCCAGTACTGTGACACTGATTTGCACAAACTCACCCGTTGCTGTTTTTTGGGCTCATGAGTAATTCTGAACACCAAATAATATGTGCTATAAACTGGGGGGGGCATCAGAGTTTAAAGGTTGTAGCAATTCATGGTAAATCACAGTAAAACCCTCTGGGGGAGATGGCCAGCCTATAAATTTAATAATGAATGAATGAATAAATGAATGAATGAATGAATAAAATCCTGTTCCTAGTTCTTCAGCTCACGCTTGTCTTACGGAGTCCCTGGCCTTTCCCAGCTCTCCTTTCGGAGGCTTTAGTGCTTCAGGATGCCAGAAATTGACGTTGGGAACTTCAGCACTGAAACCCTGAACCGCGTTCCTTTTTTCTTTGGCTTGTTGTTGGTCCACAGCCAAGAAGTTTGCGGAGAATCAACCCAAGAAAGAATCCTCCAAGAAGGAGAAGCCGCCGAAGGAGGAGAAGAAGGCAGAGAAGAAAGAAGAGAAGAAGCCAGAGCCTGAGGAGGAGCTAGATGAGTGTGAACAGGCCTTGGCGGCCGAGCCCAAATCCAAAGATCCCTTTTCTCACCTCCCTAAAAGGTAAGGACCCCCAGGTGGTTGGAGAAGGGGTGCCGCAGTCAGAAAGGCTTGGGGTGACGCCCGTTCGGGGGATTCGGGCCAACCTGGAAAATGTCCCAAAGTGCTCTTTGGCCAAGTGTGGGGGCAACCTAGAAGGTCAGGCCTGAATAATCTATTTGGCTTTATTAAAAAAAAGTTCCATCAGAGCAGTTTTAGATAGGTGTCAACGTACATCAAACCTATGAATTTTTTTTTCCTTCTCAAGCCCTTTACCGTATTTATCCAAAAGGATGGTGCTCCCCCTGAAAAAAGTAATCTATTTTTTAAATTGGAAACTTGTTTTAGATTTGCTGAGCATCCAATGAAAGAGGAAAATTATTTTGTGGGCCTCACCTCTCTTTTGAGGGTGGCTCATCTTATATTCTATTGTTTGTTCGGTAAATGCAGCACTTTCTGCAATTAGTAGATGCTAAATAAACACATAGAGATAAACCTAAGTAAATGGGCACTAAATAGGCACATAGAGATAAACCACATTTACACATCATTCAAAAGAGACAATAAAAAAGCTAAAAAGTAAACAAAAAGACCGCAACGCAACACATCCTCTCCAGCAACCGACACCCAGATAAGCAGGGATTAGCACCAGATTCCAGAGTTCAGCCCTGAGTCACAGATACTCTCTTTTATTAGTAATGTCTTGGAATGGCAGTTGATTACAGACTCGCTGGGTGATGAGATTTGCCTACAAAAAGGCAGATGAAATTTTAGAAAGTTTAGCAAGAAATGCAGGTAATTGAGAAAATTAATACCAGGAAACATCACACTGGGGAAAACGGCTTACACAAATTGTATTAGGCAAAATTGCAAACAAAAACACAAGGATTAGGAGAAATGCAACAAAAAAATGTATCCATTCTTTTTATTGTTTGTTTATTGTCTTTTATTGTCTCCATTCAAAAGAGACAATAAAAAAGCTAAGAAGGAAACAAAAAGACCAGAACACCTCCTTTCCAGCAGCCAGATAAGCAGGGATTAACACCAGACAAACGAACAAGGAGAAAACAACACTCTAACCAAGGGGCTACCAAGGAGAAAATCACACACCCCCAACACTGGCAGGGCAAGCTATGTATATAAACAGGCAGCAAACCCCAGACTCACCAGCACTGATGATGTTCCCTAGTCGGGTAATGAAACGTCTGCAAGCAAACCACCAAGCTCAGAAAGTACCAAGGACTCCATACGCTAGTCTTCCACTTGCTTCGC